GACGGCCAAGATAAATAGGCAGCTTTATCCTCTCTCTCCCACACCTCTTTATCTGCCCTCGTCTCTTTTCAGCGCACGGACCCCCTACATTGAGCTTCTCCACCGCAGGGGCTGATGGGAAAGGATGCGTGTGGGATTTTCAGAGAGTGTTAAAGTTAAATGATCTCGTAAAAACAAGCACAAATGGTGCTGACTGTAAAGCAGTGTTAAAGGGACAGTTCACCCAGAAATGAAAATTCTGTCATCATTTAATTTCCCTCAAGTTGTGAAACACAAAAGAAGGTATTTTGAAGAAGAATGTAGGTTTGGAACAACATGAGGGTAAGTGATGACAGAATTAATTTTTTTGGATGAACTGTCCATTTAATTTGATTGGCAAAACGATTCACGAAAGATAACCAAGGTTTACACAACAACGATGTACTAAAATTTGTGTTTTCTTTGCATTTTCGCATACAGACGACATCGTTGTCAAAACGATCCCTGTTCAAACGAATCTGCGAAAACGACTAAAAACGCTGCATTATGCATGACAGGCCAGTAGGTGGCGACGTCACTTTGTAAAAAACACTGCACACATGTGCACATACGCATTCCTGTTGACTGAACACGTAATATGCATGTGCACGACGTCACCATTTTTACAAATTCGCATTTTCGTAATTTATGTGGTATCGTTTTTAAAAACCTGCACTTTGAAACTTTCAAAACTAACTAGAGTTAAACATACTGTTAGTGACTGCTAACGTTTGTTAGTGCTGACTGGAGAAGCACATTTACAAGTCAAAACACACTTTTACTGAGCAAGCATTTAATAGGAGGATTCAGCTACTGCTCAGAATTGCTAAAAATCAGTATTAAAGTGCATCTCCAGTATAGTTTTTTTTCTTTTTACTCTGAAGCAATATTCACTCAGAGATTGCTGCTAAATTTCACACATAATTATAAAGCAATGACCAGGGCTATTATAGATAAGTAAAACTGAAACTAATAATTAAAAAAAATATAAATGTTAAATAAATAAAAATCAATGCAAGCTATATATAGCTACTGAAATGTATACGCATGTTAAAATAAAGAAAAATATATAGAATGTGTCTAAAATATAAATTATATAAAAATATTTAAATCATATAGAAAAAAATTAATGATATAGAAATTATGCATATACAAAACTAATTAATATTAGTAATTTTGATTTAGTAATTAGTAATTAAATTTTATTAGTAATTCTATTTTAAAATATTAGTAATTTTGTGTATTATATTTTATTTAATATAAATCACACACACATATATATATATATATATATATATATATATATATATACACACACATTAGAGCTAATATACAATATTATAAATGTAATATAAATTATATAATTGATCCTAGTTTGCTTGTACTAATCTCCATTTCACATTTTCTTCTGGAGATGTTCTGGTCAATATTAGAATAAAGGCTTAATCTTAATCTGTAAATGTGGCCATTTTTTTGCATTTCCACGGCCCAGTGTCTCTCATCTTCTCTGTTTTTCTCCAGCTCTGTCCTCAGTTGCTCATTTTCTGGGCTGCGATGGCTGCGCTGTAGAATTATGGGATGGAAATCAATAGTGTCCGGATTGAGTGATCAGGGAAAGTTTTAGTGCTGTGGGCTCAAGGCTTCATCAACACGGTTTAAAGCACGTCTGCTGAAGCCCGAGCACAGGACTCACTTCGCTGCGCTCCGGATTAATCGCCTGCAGCAGAGCATCATGGGATTGGCCTGAACACACGGGGCTTGTTTCAAGATGTAGTAACTTTTCTGCCACATTTTTCTGACTGTGACAGTCACTGCCTGGATGTTAAGCTGAAAGCTGATGCGTTTGAGATGCGTCCCTATAAACGACACACCTGGATGTTTCTTTGTTTTATAAAACAATCTGTGATTATCATATAATTATTATTATTGTTTTTAGATTTTATATTTTATATAAATAGCTGTACTTTAGTTTATGTAATATATAATATTATATTTAATTTGTTAATATATTTAATATTATATATTGCATCTATATGTTATATTTCATATTTGTTATTATTATTATTGTTGTTAATATTATTGATATTATTATTATTATTATTACATTATTTTGTTGAAAATAGTATATTTATTTTATGTTTTACATATTATATTTTTTTATAATATATATATATATAGTTTTTAAATAAATGTAATATAAATTGCCGTATTTTGTGTATTATATGTTATTATATTTTATTTAATATAAATTAAATTTTTATATATATATATATATATATATATATACACAATGTATTTAGTACAGTATATATAATACAGTACACACACATGTATTATATAAACAAAAACTTTTGGATGCGATTAAAAAAAATATATATATATATTTATGAAGAGTTTGGTTCCAAAACGCTATAAATCCATTTTGATTAATTTGAGTAAAAATGTGTTTTCTTTACCAAGAAAGTGGCCACTATTTTCTGTTTCAAACGTTCACATAGCATCTTTACGTTAAAATAACATAAAAAATTCAAATCCGGATTTTGATTCTCAAAGATTTATTATAAAAACTGATCATTTTTTTCCCCCAAAATGCAATAAATCCATTGAATCAATATAAAAGTAATGTTTCATATTGAAACTGTGGTAAATGCACGGCAAGGTAAGTTGCTCCACATCTGACGGCCTCTGGACTTACGTTTCTTTCCCACCGCAGGTTCATCAATGCCGTCAAAATCATCATCCAGCTGATGAACGATAAAAACACTGACAGCCAATCAGAATCCATCCTGCTGTAACGAGCTCAAGAATTTAAAGCAGCAGACGCGCGTGCGCTTAGAATACACCGACGATATCGCTCGCTGGTGTGGACGCTAACATCGTTATCTTTATAGTTATCGTTCTTGGTGTGAACGGGGCTTAACACGGCGGATATTTTTAAAATTGGCTTTTTAATACCGACCAGATACAATACTGATTCAATTTTATTTATATTTTATGCCGTTTATCGCGTTTTGGAACCAAACTCTTCACCATACATATAATTTTTTTTAAAAATTCATCTTTATAGATGTTTCCTCTGAGATGTTAATGTGATTTGAGACGAGGTCGGTGAGAGCGCGCTCGGATTGAGTTTATGCACACGGCTTGACCCGGTCACATGACCCGCGGCGTCCAATCACAGGTCAGCGTGAGTTTGTGTTGATGCACCTGGTGCGTGATAATAATAATAATAATAATAATAAGCTGCAGCAGAACACATGATGAGATCAGGAGGAATGACTGATTGATCAGCGCTGAGGTGATTCTGATCACTCATGATCAATCAATCCGTCTCTGGCCCATACACACACTCTGTGTTTGATTGATTACAGTATTGATGCGATTGGAAACACAAGTGTTGATTTGTAGAGTTTTTGGCTTCTGATGTGAAGCTTTAACATGTTTACACCTGCTTTAATACATGTACAAAACAATAGCCGAATTAGCGCGGTACTTCCGTGTTTTGTGGACAGTTTGAGGTTGTAAATACCTGATTAAGGTAATCAATCAGTACCATGGTATAGAAGTACTTTACCAGCACTGTACCGTAGTATCACCACAGTACATTTTGTAAGAGTAGACAGAGATCTGAATACAAATGTTTGTATATATTTTGTGTGTGTGTGTGTGTGTGTGTATAGTATTTTGTATTTATATATATATATTTTTTTATACAATTAAATATATATATATATATAGATTATTAATTATATTAATTTATATATATATATATATATATTAATTTATATATTTTTTCTAGTGTATACATTTATTAATATTTTTTATATTTTACATAATCTCATCTATATATCTATAGCTATTTGAAATATAAATAAATAAAATAATGAAAAATATGTAATTATGTAAATATAAAATAACAGTTTTTCTTTCAAATTGGCATTTGATAATTCAAAGAATAATTTTTTAATAATTATTTATGTTTATTTATTTTATTTAAGCAATAATCATAAATTAATAAATTCATATAAAATAAAATATTTAAAAATAAATACTTTTTTTATTATTATTGACAGTTGAAATTAAAATGCAAACATAACTCTCTTCCTAAATGAATTTATTTCCCATTTCTGTGTAATTCCTGATTGGTCAGTGCTTTAGTATTTGAGTCTAATGACTTTAAACTGTATAATTGATCATTGACTCATTAAGTTGCTCGTAGAATATTCAGTATTTCGTGTGTGTGTGTGTGTGTGTGTGTGTGTGTGTGTTTATTTGTTAAGTAGTCATAAATAAAAATGATGCATCCAGAGGGTCAGTATCTCAAAACGAGCAGCTGATTTTATATCATCTGAAGCCTCGTGGTTTCTCAAATCCGTCCGAATATGAATGTTTTCTGAACGCTACAGTAAGATGCTTTTCCCGCATCAGTCTGTTGAGTTTCTGCTTGGCCGACGTTCGATCTGAGCAGCAGCGGCGTTTGAGTTCTTCTTGAGAAAAATCTGAAGCGAGTAAATTGTGTGGCTCCTGACGGCCGCTCTCACCGTCTCCGGCTCTTTTGAGGAGTTTTTCCAGAGCTATTCATTACAAATCAGCTTAATGAGAGCAAAGCGCATTAGTGGCTCCCGCCGCTGCAAACGACTGAAAGATGGAGCGATTTGTTGACTCTTTAGAGAGCGGCTTAAGCCGAAGCTGTTTGTTCTGATCCTCGGCTTTCTGACATTTCCCTCCAAAGGGTTTTCCTGCCGGTTTTATTGGCTTGACCTGATTAGCTAATCTGTGCTTTGAATTTCAATGGCTTCTCGGGCCGCTGGGAACCGGATTACCTCATTCAGCGGTCCTCAAACACAGATGGCCGAATGTTTAACCGATTGTTAAAAGAGTCGACAAAAGGGAGTTTAACGGAGCACACGGTCTTTAAGCTCAATGCATGCAGAGGAGTAAAGAGAGATGCTCCTGTGTTGATGTTGTGATGCTGATATTAAATCGATGTCGTCTCTTCTTCTTCTTCTTCTCCTCAGAGTCTGTGCTCGACGGCTAGCGTGCAGACGGTGAGATCCGCCGACACCAATGAAGTCCACAAACTCATCTTCAGAGAGTCAGACAATGACCGCAAGGTGAAGCCTTTCACTGCTTCATGTAGTCTTCAAACATATATGTTCAACCAATGGGCCTCCAAATATTATACTGATTTCTGAAGATCACGTGACACTGAAGACTGGAGGAATGATGCTGAAAATACAGCTGCGCATCACAGAAATACATTACATTTTAACACATATTCACATAGAAAACAATTCACAATTTTACTGCTTTTGCTGTGTTTTGGATCAAATAAATGCAGGCTTGGTGAACAGAAGAGACTTCTTTAAGAAATCTTACGGTTGAAAAGCTTGATATACTTTTTGCTGATGACTTGGTCATTCTGTGATCTGTCTGTGTGCGAAGGTTGGTGTGTTTTACAAGGGTTCACTTACTGTTTCCTCACTCATCAGTTGAAGATCTTTAATCTACTACAGGCTCCTCCATAATTTGGTGTAGATCTGTTAAACGTAAAGGTTTTTATTATACACTACCATTCAAAAGTTTAGGGTCAGTAGGATTTTTTTTTTAATGAAAAAAAATGCTCTCTCGTTCACCGAGGCTGCATTTATTTGATCAAAAATACAGTAAAATTAGTGAAATATTATTCTAATGTAAAACCGCAGTTTTCTATGTGAATATGTGTTAAACTGTAATGTATTTCTGTGATGTGCAGCTGTATTTTCAGCATCATTCCTCCAGTCTTCAGTGTCACATGATCTTCAGAAATCAGTATAATATGCTGATCTGCTGCTCGAGAAACATTTCTGAGTATTATCAATGTTGAAAACAGTCGTGCTGCACAATATTAATATTTAAACCGTGATGCATTTTATCTTTCAGGATTCACAGATGAACAGAAAGTTCAAAAGAACAGCGTTTATTTCAAATAGAAATCTTTTGTGACATTATAAATGTCTTTACTGACACTTTTGATCAACTTAACACATCCTTGAAGAATAAAAGAGTCACTTCTTTAAAAAAGTAATCTTAGTGACCCAAGATTTTGAACCAGAGCCAATGTCATACACTTTATTTATAATATTAGCTCTCATTGGTTTCTGCTGTTGAAGTGTTCGCTGAAGCGAATGAAGATCTGTGTTTGTTCTCGGTCCTCTCATAGGTTGTCCTCCAGCTGGAAAAGAAGTTGTTTAACTACATTAACCAGGACGTTTTCCGGGAAAACAATGGAACGCTGGTAAGAGACTCGATCCTGTTTAAATGCCTCATAACTGTGTGAATGTTTGACTTCAGTCTTCCTGAATGAGACGCTTTGATGGAGATGAACTTCGATGAACTTTATGAATTAAGACAATTAGCGGCACACTGGATGTCACTGTGGATACAGATGTTCGGACAGATTATGATGGAGAGGTCAGACCTCAGCCGTGCGATCTTGTGCTTATAAAGAGACGCATTCACAAAATACAAATAATTGATCACATTCCATTTCCATGCAGCATTTCAGTTTAGTACAGTTATTTGAAAATAAATAAATAAAATAAAATAAATATTAAATAAAAGTAAAGATGTAAACAAAAACGTTAATTAAATAAAAATAAATAATTTATTTTACATTTTATTTCAGTTAATGTTTTTCAAATGTGAAATAAGCTCATAATCTAACAGTATGAGAGAGGAGTGAGGATTGTTTTCCAACGTCTGTCTGTTTATTCTTTCTCAAAATGACCAAGAGAATCATTAACAGGAGCATGAAGGAGCTGAAATCGTTAGTGGATCTATGTGTGAGTGTGAGTGTGAGTGTGAGTTGTGAGTGTGTGTGAGAGAGAGAGAGAGAGTGTGTGTGTGTGTGTGTGAGTGTGTGCGTTTTTGTGACAAATGAGGACATAAATGTGTATAATGACAAAGGTATGACAGGTATTACAAGGAGAAGGTGACTTTTCAGGACATTACCCCATGTCCCCACTTTTCAAAACACTTATAAATCACACAGAATGGAGTGTATTGAAAATCTGAAATAGCAGAAAGTTTCCTGTGAGGGGTAGGTTTAGGGGTAGGGTTGGTGTAGGGCAATAGAATATACGGTCTGTACAGTATAAAAACCATTACGCCTATGGAGAGTCCCCACTTTTCACAAAAACAAACCTGTGTGTGTGTGTGTGTGTGTGTGTGTGTGTGTGGGTGTGTGTGTGTGTGGGTGTGAGTGAGTGAGGGTGTGAGTGAGTGAGTAAGTGTGTGTGAGTAAGTGTGTGTGTGTGTGTGCGTGCGTGTGTGAGTGAGTGAGGGTGTGTGTGTGTGTGAGTGAGTGAGGGTGTGTGTGAGTATGTGTGTGTGAGTGAGGGTGTGTGTGTGTGTGAGTGAGGGTGTGTGTGAGTAAGTGTGTGTGAGTGAGGGTGTGTGTGTGAGTGAGTGAGGGTGTGTATGAGTAAGTGTGTGTGTGTGTGTGTGTGAGTAAGTGTGCGTGCGTGTGTGTCTGTGTGTGAGTCTGTGTCTGTGTGCGTGCGTGCGTGTGTGTCTGTGTCTGTGTGTGTGTCTGTGTCTGTCTGTGTGTGTGTGTGTGTGTGTGTGTG